ATCGCACACAACCATCATTGCTTCCCAAAACTGCTTGTTTTGTGCAGCTCTTTTCTAAACCAAGATACAACATGATATCATGATGCAACTCCTCTGTTTCTTTCATGGTAAGGCTTTTGAAAATCAAATACGGCTCATTCATGTCCATTTCCAAACCAAGTGCATCAAATTCTTTTGCAAGCTGCGAATCTGTACCAATGCTAAGATTGATTGCCAAAACATCAATGGGTTTAGCACGGCCCTCTTTGACACGAATTTGAGCACGTAGTTTGGCTTGTTCAAGATGAAAATCGTCTTCTTTGGAAATCCAATCACCAACTTCCATGGCGTCTCTTTCTTGTTGCATGCGCAGTTGTTCTTGCTCACGAAGTTGCTGCTCTATTTCACGCTCGGCTCGTCTTTTGCTTAGCTTTTCAAGCTCTGACTAATACCGCAAATCATTGGCGCAGCAATTAGCAAGTTGTAAAAGCATACAATGTCAAGGTACACATTGCTGGATCATAATCATGACTCAATGGCAGACATACAAACACAAAATAGGTATGCCATAACACTCACCACTGCCTCGCGTCGACGCTGCTCCTCAGCAGCAGATCTTTCAGCAGCAGTAATCCCTTTCTTTGTATCCGCTTCACGCTTCTTGACCCATACAAACTTTTGATGAAGATTGTTGTCTCCAAATGGATTTTCCAAGTTTGTATATCCAAGTTCTGCCGACATTCCTGCTGCAATCATGGACAAATTTTGGTCTTCCATTTCTTTTTTCAACAACTATTAAAATACTCCCATCAATCATACGTTAGCATAGGTGCTTGTTTGCTTGTTCAAAACTTTCCATCAACTTGAATTAACATTGCCAAAAAATCCAACCTTTTTCTCAGAAGATCTGATTGCCTTTCTCTCAAGACGCTCTTTGGAAGTTTCACGAGATTTTTTTGAAGACGAGCTCCTACAAGATTATAGTTTTGAAATTAGTTTAAAATCCATCAATCTGGCCAATCCAGGAAATACATTTACTTTTTGTGCTTTTTGCTCTTGTTTCGGTCTAATGGTTCTGAACTACGCTTTCGTCTGCCATGCTCATCGCTATCGGCTGAACTAAAACTTTGTCGCCTAGTGGATCGTTCACGACTTGTAGATCTTTTTCTGCTGCTACGTTTATGACGGTCATCATATTTGCGGTCTACATCCATGTCAAGACTTTTTTCTCGGGGTGAGTAGGATCCAGTCCTATCTCTCCTCAGATCTTTCCTTGCTCTAGTGTCATCTCTACTTTCTTGTCCTCGTCCTCTCTCTACACTTCTTTCTCTGCTACCATCCCTTTGTCTAGAATCTCGCCGTCTGTAAGATCTATTCTCCGAATGTCGATACATTTGGTCTCCATCTTGGTGTCTGTCCTTTTTATCCATGATTCAAAACCAACTCGATATTTATCTGCAGAAATGGCAATAGTCTAGGTATAAAGCAGTGTATATCGGTTAGTTTAGGCAGATAAATAGAAATCTCAAACAGTACGATGCTTGCATTGTTTAATAAAGAAGCGATATCACAATTAATAGCTTGAACCTTGACAATGTTTTTGAATGCAATAATTGCGACGGCTGTGAAAAGTGAAAATCAATTCAAACACACACGTGATTTATTTGAAATTTGCACGACGGAATGGCAATTGTTTGAAGTTGGCGATTCAGGAACGAGAATGGGCGAGACAGTTGTTTCAAACACTGACAGCATTTGACAAGCGATTGTTTCAGCATTTTAAAAACAAGGCTTTTCGTATGTCAAACTACACGATTGAAGGAAATGTCTACTGCCAATTATTTTTTATATGTTCTCATGCTCTTTGATTTGTATCCCAAATCTCATTGCAAAATGGTATATTTATTTTAAAAAACGAGCATGAGCATAAGGAGTGTTGATGACTTGCCAGTTGCCCAATACGTGTTTTGAATCAACACATAACACTCCAAGTTCACTCATACCAACCAAAGTGGGCGATTCTGAAGTGTGCGTTGTGTTGTGTGCAGACACTGGATGATGCACACCATTGCTGATCATCTCCTTGGAGTTTGGATCGTTATTATGCGCTCCATTCTCTGGAATAGTCGTAAACTCCAATATAGACGGTATCGAGGCAATCGAATCTGCACATTGAATAGCTAAAGTGTGGTCGATTCGCAAAAGCTCAATCTGCATACCTTTTTTTAAATCATGAACTGTATCGACTGCTAATGTTCCTTTGGCCAGATCTCCCCCACTAAGTAGATAAATTCCAACTGCGTTCTATACACGGATTGACGGATTTGTCAAATTTGAATACAAAACAGCTCAACAGTAATTGAAAGACTACCTACAGATTGTGGATCTTTTACTCGTACATAGATCTTGTAATCCAACGTTTTTGATGTGTTTGATTCTTGAAGTTTGAGTAGTAACTCTCTTGTAGCATTTCTTTCGTTGAGTTCAAGTATAATATTTCCTCTACACCTAAATTATTCTAAATACCATTAGTTTCAAAAATAATTGATATCGCTTCTAGTAGTACCCAAAAGTCTAGACTCGAGAATATTGTTACCTTGAAATGACCATGGGAGAAGAAATGGGTGTGTAGTTTTTGTACAAGAGCTCCATGCGAGACAGTGCCGATTCGGATGGAGTTGTGTCACTCTTGTTTCTATTAGATGGTGAAAATGAGACTCCAACAGCTCCACCTGAAAGAACTTGATCGTTCATGAATAATGTAAATGGTCGCCCAGTTAAAAAGGGCGTGCGAGATCCAATAAGACCAAGTTGGGTTGCATTCGGATACAAAGTATTTAAGCTCTGCATCAAATCCAACGGCTCATCATCCGTGAATAGCAATAGATTTGATGGGATTGATCTTTGTATCCATATGCAATGAGGAGTCATCCAATATGTACCATCATATTCAGAAACAAAAAAAGAGTAGTTTAGTATGTATATGCCATTACAAATATAACCGATTTTTAAAAACTCGATATATCAGCATCGAATCATCTAATTTCAAAATATACCGTTGCTGAATAAGGTGATCAGGTAAAATGGATGATGGATCCAGCGTAACTCGCTGAGAAATACTTTCAAAGCCTAGAATAGAGAGATTGGGTGCAGAATGCAGTGGAGATCCCAGTGCACTCGGCCATCGTCCAACTGCCCTGTGTCTTTGTTTTCTTGCTAAATCTGCTGGCACTGCAAATGCATGAACTAACGGCTTGTCTGCACCTTGGAGCGATTCGTTTGTAAGCAGCGTTAAACTGAATGCAGGTCCATTAGTGGGCAAGGACACTGCATCCACCACAGCACCAATCAAAGAATCTGGATTCAGTGCATTCATAACCAACCGAGGAAGAATCTCAATCTGTGATGCTGGAACATGAGGATTGACTAGTAATATGGCTAATGCTGGTGATTTACCAGCACCAATACGATTACAACAAAAGTCCGTAATCGTTGATTCCTTTAATGAATTCGGTCCAGTAAAAGTGGTTGTAGTCCAAAGATTTCGTAATGGTAGTTTGTGGATGATACTAGCAGTGCGTCCTCTCCGTATCAATGACCATGTCATGGCTTGACTATTACAATCGTATTCACGTAAAATAAAACTCCAAAGATGTCAAAATACATAGTCATGAAATGATGGATGCAATTTTGATCAAATCTACTGGACAAGATGGCTTAAACTCTTTAAAGCTGATTGGTATGAAAACAACAGTTGCAGTCTTGTTTTCTTAAACTAGAGCGCGAACATACGAGATTATGATGCAACAGATG